CAAGATGCCCAGTGAACCAGAGCCCTCCAGACACCACGCTGGCCTGCTCTGTGGTGTCTCCTGTCTGCCAGGCCCATCCATCAGCTTTGCAGTAGAAAGGATTCAAGCGTATTCCTCTCTCTTCCAAAGAAACACGGCTTAACAGCTGCTCTGTGCCTGTTCCCGTGCCATCCGGCATCTGCTCTCTCCTTCTCAGCTCTTGCTTCATCCTAATTCCTTCCCTGTTCCCCCACCAAAGGAGGAGTTAGGGGCAGGGAAGAGAGATGGAGAAACCCAGGTGCCTTCTCCTTGAAGGTGGCTGCAGTTCAAACACCTGGAGCTATGACAGAGGGAAAGGGCCTGGCAAAGGCTCTGTTCTGTGAACAGCAAAGCTTAGGCAGTGCTGTGGAAAAGAAAGAACTGAAGTTGGGCGTTGGGTTTTTTTTCCTCTTTTGCACTTGGATGCTGTCAGCCGGTGTGGCAGCTTTGCTGGAGGCTGTAGCAGTGGGTTCAGATCCCAAGATTCATTATGCATGAGGTGCTGAGCTATGAGCTCAGATCACTGCAGGTGGGGCTGGGCTCGAGCCGGCAGACACAAGTGCTGGAGGACAGGAGTGGAGGTGTCGAGATGGCAGGAGTGGGTAAGACCTCAGCTGATCCGCCTACGCTCCCTGGGGGTGAAGTGTGACGATGTAGCCCAAAAAGAGCAGCTCCTTTCCAGACCTACTGTGTTGAGTGATGAAAGTCGTCTCCCAGCTGTTCTGAATGTTTCTGAGCAGAAAACCCTGGAGTCAGTCATCAGCTGGTCCTTTCGGTCCTCTTTGCTGCGAGGAGTTGTGGCTGTGGACTTGTTAGCACTTAAATTGTATTTCTCCCTTTGGGGGTGTCGCATTGGTCAGTGGCAGGAAATCTGTGGCCTGCTTTTCTTGCTTCAGAGCCTGCTGTTAGGCAAGCTCCCAGCTCCGTGTAGGGGAGGGCCAGGGGCACGCTCTGTCATTTGTCTACGGCAGCAGAAGAAAGGTACAAAGTGTTAAAACCCACTACACTGAGTCACAAAACACTTAATGACACCCTGGCAATGTAATGGGCGTCTGTTTTTTCTCTGTCACAAATGTTGATTCAGTCTGGCTTCTTGTATTTTGTGTGAACAATAAGTCGGTGTAGGATAACTGGCTGCAAAACGCTAGAAAGCCTTATGCCGCAAGGTCTGATTTCTAGGTAGAGGTACTGTTTTTTCACTTGAGTGGGAGAGTAATTACACGTGTGTTTCTTTCTCCAGCTTCGGTATTGTTGCACTTCGAGTGTCTCTCAGGGTATGCCTGCACAGCCAGCTGCAGGTGTGTCTGTAGCAGGAGCCAGCTTAACCCAGCCAACTCTGGTGAAAATAGCAGGGAGGCAGCTGCGCCTGGGAGGGACACAGATGTGTGGCAGCGCCCGAGGCCCCTGCCAGGCCCATAACCTCACGGGTGGCTCCGAGCCTCCCCATCTCCATTGCTGCTTTCTGCCTGGCGCGGGCAGGTGACCGAGCTGGCGTGGATTTGGTGGTGGGCACCAAACGTGTGGCTGCAGGCCCTGGAAAGCAGGGACTTGGGAGAAATGTGGAAAGGAAAGATCCGAGCCTCTTGTTCCAGTAGATCTATGAAAGTTTCCAGTCTGTCTGTTTGACTCTGAGAGGAAACGGGCAGTCCTGAATCTGTCTGTGCCTGCACGTATGTAAGAGCGAGTGGTCTTTCATGGCTGCCCTTGCAGGAGCCCTGCCTGATCTCCAGGTGCCTGCTGCAGGCGGGATGGAGGGAGTCTTGTAGGAATTATTAAGGGTGAAGGGTGTAAACAGTCCACAACTCCACCATCAAACTGAAAAGCAGCACTGCAGAGAAATCTTTATCAGTTGACCCAGACATTGTATCTAGGTTTTTTCTGATCAAAATGAGCTTAGTGTGCTCAGTCTCATTACAAACAGATTTTGCCATGTGCCTGCGAATACCTCGAGACAAGCGGTGGAGAGGCAGGTTAGAGCAGGGCAGCAGCAGCGTGATTGAGATCACAGAATTTGAAAAGAAATGCCGGGCAGGAAGGCTAATGAGGAGCATGCTATTTTGCCAGAATTTTATGGGAGGAAAACCCTCAGAAACATTTACCCTGTTTTTTCTGTTGATGTGGAGGTTAAAAATCCCAGCTCTTGCTTCCATGAACAGTTCGAACACGTTGCACTACCACATCGAGCCGCAGCTCCTCTCTCTCGCCAGAGCATTAGCTGCAAACTCTCACCACTCACTCTGCTGCTGAGGGCAGAGCTGTTCGGAGCGGAGAGAAATAATTAGTGCTTCATGCAGAGTCAGAAATATCTGCAGTGAAACAAGGATATTATTGACAGCTGGAGAACTGATGAGGTGTCCTAACTGTGTGTCATTAGCATCTTTCTGTGCTTAATTAGATAACTAAAAGGCAGGATAAATAAGCTCTCTTTTGGTATGAGGGATATGGCTTAAGATCTAGCCTGTAGTAGCTCCTCAGCATCACTTTGCCCCGCAGTGCCCTTGGGGAAGTCCTGTTTCCGGAATTATTCTGTTCCACTGTGTCGTATCGCACGGCTACTCGTAGTACGTGGCGGAGTCATTTTGACTTGCGTCCTTTTCTCCTGTCTGCGCTCCCCTGGAGTTCTCTAATGCTTCCTGTTATGTCAGGAGAGTTTGTAAAGCAGTCGATGGCTCTGTGGGTTGGGGCAATTATGGGATATGAATCCTGGGCTTTTTGCTCCCTGATCAGCTGAGCAGGAAACTGGGCGTTAATACTTTGGTCCTCATTTTTAATTTTGGCATGGTCATCACAACAAGCAGTTGGTAACATCATTCTGGCTGTCGCTCCTGGATGATTGGATTTTTACAATCCAGCAGAATCACTGCTAGAAAAAATTGTGATTTAAGTGCTAGTCTGCTTCAGCCACGTGACTCAAGTATGGTTTTGTCTCAGGATTCTGACAACCCAGACCTGCGGGATCGTGGCTACATCTACTGGCGCCTTCTTTCCACGGATCCAGTGACTGCCAAAGAAGTGGTGCTCTCGGAAAAGCCACTTATTTCTGAAGAGACCGACCTGATTGAACCGACTCTGCTGGACGAGCTGATCTGCCATATCGGGTCTCTGGCTTCTGTGTACCACAAACCGCCCAACGCTTTTGTGGAGGGGAGCCACGGGATCCACCGCAAACACTTGCCAATTCACCACGGAAGGTAAGCTGAGGCAGCCGTGGTGACAGTTGGATGGAGTTGGCTGTTTCTGTCTAGCAAAGAGTCCAAAAGATGCAGAGATCTTATAAGTGGGTTTTTACTGATTGTGAAGGGGCTCACAGGTTATTCAAGGGGCCCTTTCATTGCAGATTTTAATCCTGGGTGTGTAGTTTCTGAGTTCCTGGGTTAGAAGACAGGGGAAATATCCAAGTTTTTGTGCGAGGAGAAGCCATGATTTTTTTTTGAGAAGGCACTGGCTATAAGGCCTCTTAACATGAGAGTTTTAATAAAAAAGCAGAAGCTTTGGGTAAGTGGTGCTAGGGCATGGTTCCAGGAGGAGGATGACTGTGGTAAAAGCAAGCGCCTTTCAGAAGGATGCATTTCTTTGGTTTTGTGGGAGCTTTTGCTTCAGACAGAGCACAGCTTTACAAGCCTCCCTGCAGCATTCCCGGAACAGGCGAGCACAGGGATCCTTTGCTGTTGGAACATGAGATGGGGGAGGGCTGGTAAAACGGCCTTTCTCTCTTGTGCCTATAAAGCGAGGGGACTGTAAAAGCCATCTAAGCCCCATGACTGAAAACTGCGTGGGTTTAGAAGAAGATGGCTAGACTGCTGCCGTTCTGCCCAACCTTTGGCTGGTGAGGGCGAAACGCTTGGGCTTGTTATCCAGAGCTTTAACGCTTCCCCGTGCTCGCAGCCCTGGAGCTGGGTTAGACCTGCAGGAACAGGCGGTGCCGTGTCCCGGGCTGCGGCAGCGCTGCTGCTGAGCTTCTTCCCGTGGTTCCTTGTTCAGGTAAGCAGTGCTCTTTGGGCTAATGGTACTAATTACAAGTTTAAGTGTGCCTTGCAGCGAGAGGCAGGGTATCCAGGCTTACCTCTTAATAATATTCCCAAAGTGACATTTGGAGTGCTTATTTTATTTTTTCTGTCGCAGGGATAAATCAGTGTGCGATGCTGCTCCTTTTCTATTTTCTGACACTGCTTCTCTGCTATTCTTAGCAACTAAAGCTATTTCTGTAATGACTAGCTTTGGGAAGCCGAGTTGTTCCCTGCCTGTCTATAAAATCAAGTCTGGCTGCATTGACCCGGGACCAGCAAACACAAAGCAGTTGGAGAAGAAAAGCAGCGACCACTTGCCTCTGCTCCATCTTCTGGCCTGAGATTTGCCTCGGCAGCAAAAGGAGCTGGGGTGGGGGCAGCTTTGGGTTTTGGTGTTACCGGCCTTCCTGCACACTGCTGTTTCAGGTCACTACAGAAGCTAACGTCTTAGGGGCTTTTAGTCAGCACAAGGAATTCAGCTTTTGCAAGGGGTGGTCTTTTTACTAGTTCCTTGTGTGTCCCGTGTACATGACTTGACTCTCGTAGCGCACGCTCAGTCGGCTCACCTCAAATTCTTTCCAACGCCAGCAGTGTTCTGCGCTGCCCTCGTGGTGTTTCCTACCAAATTACCCTTTGTTCTGGCATCAGACCTTCAGGCCTCAGTCTGCAGTGGTGAGCTGAGGGAGCCAGAGCCGAGCTGCTCAGGTACTGGGATGCTCTGCCCAGGGCAGGAGGGAGTCACCGGCCCTGGAGGGGTTGAAGGAGAGGCTGGATGTGGCACTTGCTGCCCTGGTCTGGCCCGTGTGGGGGTGTTGGCACATAGGCTGAGCTTGATGATATCGGGGGTCTTTTCCAGCCTCAAAATTCTGTGGTTCTGTGAAGGTCTGAAGGGTGCACACTGCATGCTGATGCAGCGCTCTGCCCTTTCGGTAAATTAAAACAGTGAGTGCTGTTAATGGCACACACGCCAGGCTTCTCTCAGGCGAGCTCACCTCGTAAAGAGGCCTCGTTACTGTGGTGTTCTGCTTTAGTGTCAGCAAAAGGACAGCAAAACCTTGCAATCCGATGCCAAGACCTCCCCGTACCATGTCTCGGCGTACCAAATTGCCGCTTTCAGCCACGGGAATTACAGTGAGCGGCTCTGCGGGAGCCTGAGTGTGTGCATCCAGTGTGATTTCACTGATTGCTAAGAAACCGGTTTGCCTCTTTCTGATGCTGAACATGGATGCAAAGATCCATGAAAATCTGTCAGTTTAAGGCAAGTTAAGGGCATCCGATGAAAGTTGACCTCCCCACCCAGCTATCTGGAGTTACCTTCACTCCTTCTGCTCTTCAGTAACGACCGTTCCGGTGTCTGGCCCGCCTGCGAGGGGCTGAGGTTTTCCTTCAGATTGCACAGCTCGGTAGAGGCAGAATCGTGGAAGTGTGGAGATGTCTGCGGTGAGTGTGGCTTAAGAGAGTCAAGAGAGCATTGCCTTGAGTAGGTGGGCAGCAGTGGCTGGAGGAGTGGGGTTTTTCTGGGTGTAGACCGGGGAGGAGTTTGTTGTGGTTGGCAGAATCCGCCGTGTTGCATTTGGAGCATTTCCACTGACAGCGCTGCAGGGCAGGCTCCTTCAGTGCTCGGCTGATGGGAAGACCCACCGAACAGCTGACAGATGGTGTGAGATGTTCCTGCCTCTTCAGTAAGCCCAAGTGTCATAAAGTTGCAGATGAATCCGAAAGGTGGGGGGAGAAAGCTCCTGATGGCTTTTGGCAGCGTTTCCTCGTGTGGTGGCTCCCACCAGCCCTGCTCGGCTGGAAAATTTGCAGAGATGTGAACAGGACTCCTGGGAGAGGAAGAGTCTGGTTAGGCTTGGGCAGGAGCAGTCCTCATTCCCACACAGGTGGCTGCAGGAAATTTTGGTTTCTGCTTCAGGCTGTGCATCCCAGCATCTGGGAACTGCTGGAGACTGAACTGGGGAGGGCCAGATCTCCAGCTGACACAGGCAAACCCAACTGCCAGCCACTGCCCAGGTCTGTAAGGGAGAAAGCTTGTGTCAGGTCTTTTTGCCCTTTATAACCCACATAGTCTTTGTTTTTTTTCTTTCAAAGAAAATGCAGAATTGTTTATCCAAATCTCCTCCAAGAGGCCCGTTCTGTACGGGAGTTGGAAGACTTGGTGTTTCGGGTCTTTTTATTACAGAGTTAGCTTTATCCCTCTCTGATTTCTTGGGCTTTGGGGCAACTGCAGTTACACAAGACCTTGAAGGATCGCTTTATCTCCAGCAGAACAAGGATGAGTAAGTGTTGAAGAGGTGTAGTGTTAAAGGGATTATATCCTGGGAACGAAACGAGTGTGTGCGTTACGGGCTGGGAACAAGCCTCTGCTCACGCACACTCTTCTTCCCCGTCCTCGGCTTGGGGGTGGATCTGGATCACGGTAACCGCTTGCTCCTCAGAACTGTTTCAGTAGCTGTTCAGCGCGCTCAGCAGTCTCCTTGCTGGCGGCAGAAGCAGGAAGGACAAGTAGCATTGGGACAGCTGTTAGGGTTCTAAAGCTTTTAACGCAAAGGAGCTGTCAGGCCTCTCTTGTGCTGCTGCCTGGTAACTGGGGTGTTCTGCAGCCCTTAGGCTCCATCTTTTCCTCTCAGCGCTGAAGTTGGGAGCAGCTTATGCTCCATTGCTAAAGCTCTGCCCTCAGTAACTGAATGACGATAAGGAAGAGGGTCGTGGCGTCTCAAAATCAGGGGCTGCCATCCTTACAAGAGAGACCCGGTGCTAAACACCTTGTAGGACCCTAATTCCCGCGGCACGTGTGTGCAATTCCCTGTTGGCTGCATCTGCAGGAGAGTGAGCTGGAAATAATTTTGTCAGTTACTGCTGGCAACAGGATACAAAGTAGACTTTAAGTTATCTAAAGTATTAAGACTCTGGATTTAAAGAATAAATACATTGTAATGAGATCTCCAGGAGCTACAGGCATTCTTCCTTTTTTTTTTTTCCCCTTGTAAAATTGAATAGAAAGTGAATGTAAAAGGTAGCTGGACTGCATATGATGAGAAATTTTGGGAGCTGTATGAGCATCTCTAGACTGCTAACTCAGAGAGGAGGAGTTTATTGCTAGAAGGGAGGAATCAACGTTAGACTGAGATCTTTAAAAAAATCAGAGTTGTGGAGCTTTGTGCTGGTCAGTAGAAGATGGTTAATCTGGATCTGTGGGGAGTGGTTGAGTTTGCACGGGTTAGAGTGAGGGGTTGAGGGTTTTATCTGTATTAGGACTTCTGGATGTTACTATTTTTTTTCCCCGTGTTTACATGTAGTTCTCCAGGCCCAGTGGGCTGAAAGTCGTCTCCATAGGTTTGTTCTGTGCTGGGAAATAATTATTTTCAGCACTATAGTGCATGTGGGACTCGCGGCTCACTGTTCTGCTCTGAGATTCTCGAGGTGGACACGTTTCACATCTTGAAAATTCCCTTTCCTCAGCTGAAACCATGCTCAGTGCATGCAGAGTCTTTGTACTTAAAGCAGGGGCTGAAGAACCCTTTGCCTTAGGACATTGCCTTGTAGGGGGCAGTGGTGCCATCAGCTCCTCGGGTGAGCTTTTACCTGGCTTCTGCTTGTGAGCCACCTCTTGCTGTGTCACCCCGTGGTGGGAATCTGAAACTGGAAGGTGACTGAGGTTTCTCTCTTCTGCTTCTTGTTCCTTCCCCCCGCAGCACTGATGCCGGCGATAGCCCCGTGGGCACCACGGCCACTACGAACCTGGAGCAGCCACAGGTCATTCCATCGCAGGGCGACCTGCTGGGTGACCTCCTCAACCTGGACCTGGGCCCACCGGTGAATGTTCCCCAAGTGTCCTCCATGCAGATGGGTGCTGTGGACCTCCTGGGAGGAGGGCTGGACAGCTTGGTAAGTGGCATCATCTTTAGCCTCAATTGATGGAAATAATTGGAGCTGTGCTTATCTCTGCAAAGCCTTGATCGTTTGTGCTCGTAGTGCTTGGATCACTGAGCAACCTGTGCCGAGTCCTCAAGCTCCAAGAGGATTGAACTGGTGCTGTTGTACCAGACTTTCAGCAGGTTTTTCCTGCTGTAAAACGAATGTTGCTGCGTGCTGTAGAATCCCCGTGATCTGTGGATGTATTTGTTCCATGTCTTTTTTCTGTCCGCAAAAGAAAACCAAAGAGTTGTTTTAAGGATGTGAAGTGTTCCACTGCGTCGTAATTGATTCAGGCTCCCTTTCCAGAAGGTGTTTGTTCCTGACCCGACTGAATTTCAGTGCATCACTCTCAGGGCTGCAGGCCGTAGCCCCGTGTCATCCCATTTGTATGTTCTCCAGAGTATGTCATGTTTTAATATCGGTGACATTTTAATCGCAGTCAGGTCAAGATGGAAACGCTCTGCCCAGTCCTCCCCGTGCCGCAGCTGCTCACCGAGAGGTGTTTTGGTACTGACAGGGTGAGGTTCCGCTTCTGCTCTGGGCTGTGAGCTGGGCATGGGCTCCAGTGAGAGAACCTCTTAGCAAGGAGGCTCCAGCAGGGAAGAAGAGCTGGATGCTTGGCTGGCGCTGGAAGCAGGTGGGGAATGTGATCGTGAGCCTGGGAGTTGCTCCCGTGGAGCACAGCACAGATCCCCAGCGCGCCAGTGACTTGCCTGCAGGGGTGAGCAGGAGTCTGTGTGTATTTGCATCATGTAACCTGAGTAAGACTTACCCCGGTGAACATAGTTGGGTGGTTTTTAGACCTACAGTGGATTTGTCTTCCTTGGCTTAAGATTTGGCCTCTAGTGAGCCGAGGCAGGTTATCTGCGTGTCGGGTTTAGGGGTGCGTTCAGTTCTGAGTCAAGCTCTAAATAGCAGAGGTAGGAGGCAGCTGGATGAACCCCAACTCAACAAATTCTTATTTATCAAAGGTAATTTTAAGCCACCATAATCTTACTAAAGCTGTCACTAAACACATTTCTAGCTCAGCGCTTTGTGAGCTGATGAACTGGAAATGACCTAACCCTCAGTGGTGTCGGTGTCCTGGAGGTCAGATGTGCTTTAGCCTCTGTGCCACCTCGACAGCGCTTGGCTTCTTCGGCAGCGAGACTGCTCTCGTGCTGGGGGCACAGGGCATGAGGGAAACATTTTGCACTGGAGCTGCTAGGAAGGCAGAGGGCGAGCTCAGAGCAGCGACCCTTGCAGGCTTTGCCCTGCTTTGCAAGACGTGCCTCTAGGAAACTGGGGTTTTTAACCCTGGTAGGGTGTTGCAAACAGTGGCACTGTACCTGGCAGCTCAGAAGGGTTAGGAGTTAAATTCCTCTGTCTGTACTCTCTTCCAGGGCAGTTAGAGTAACCTTTTTTTCCCCATTAGTGTCAGGGAAAAATGGATGCAGCAGGAGGAGTAAAACTTGGTTTTGGGACAAGAGTTGTCTCACGGTTGGCGTTAATGGGCTTAATTTAGTGACCTGCTTTGGCAGTAGAGCTGTTAGTTGATATGGTTCTAGGCTTTTACTTAATGCTTTTCTCAAGCCTTAAGTGAATCCACGGGACTGCAGAGTGTGATCTGACAAAGTAATTGTGTCTGAACAGGGAGTGTCTGTGCCTCGGGCTGTGTGGGCCAGCACTGTCTCAGCCGAGTTATTAGATGGGCTCTGAAAAATAAATATCTGAATGGTGGCCTTTTTCCCCCGGAATGCTTTCTGTTAAGTGCTGTTGTATCATGTGTCCTGTCTCCTGATCCCTCGAATGTATAAGTGAACCTTTTTCTGGTAAATCTAGGTATTTCTCTGACTTTTCTTTCACTAATAAGCCTCATTGGTGTGTGAGTGGGTAAGATCTGCATGGTTGGTTGTTGCGGGCGTGTGTTTAACACGTGTCAAGCAGCGTTAACCTGGTATTAGTTAAGCTGCTGGGCAGTGCAGGGCTGGCTGAGGGGACTGGCTTGGCGTTTGGGTCTTAGGCTGATGTTAAGCCACGTTTGTGGAGTGGCAAAACCCCAGCCTCAGGCTGCAGGTGTGCCCGTGCCTGAGGTCTGTGTGTGCAGAGGGAGTGAGCGGCATCCCAGGGCATCCCCTTGAAGAAGGGACGAGCTCTTCACCCCTCCCCAGGGATCCAAACCAGCAGAGTCCAGGGGTGGTGATCCCTTGGGCTGCTCGTGCAGTCTCGTAGTGGGCTTGGAGATGGAAATAAAATCTCCCTCTGTCCTTACCAGCGTTCTGGCTGTCGGTTGGCAATCTCTTTGCTCTTTCTCCTCCAGGTAGCTCAGACACACGCTTTCTGTACGTTACCTTGCTGCCTGATCCATTCCGCTTTGAAGCTGCCCTCCCTCTCGGTTACTCCTCAGGTCTTTCTGTAATGCATGTCGGCCCCTGCCTGGGGAAGCCTGAGGCTGCCGCGCTCGCGAGTGAAGCACGGGGTGAGGTGAGCAGTCCCTGTCTCCTCCTCAAACCAGAGTTCACTTCGCTCGGGGGCCCTCGTGCTAGCAGCCACTAACCTAGTTTGGCTGTGACTGCCAAGGCAGCCGTGTTCCTCTGTGTCTGCTGCTTTAGTCTTTCTTTTCCCGTCCCTCCTGTTGCCTTAAGCCTGAGGAAGAGTGCTGGAACCCAGTGTGATCGGGGCCTGATCTGAGGAAGGACTGGATATGCATTTTCCCAACAGGAATTTTGTCTAGTGGAGATTTTTTTAAACCAGAGATGGAGTTTCTGCTGCCTCTGCTGATGATCCCTGTTTTCTGTCACCACGAGTAGATCCCTTTTGGATCTCGGATGACCTGAGAGGAGACAGGCGAAGATAAGATACTCGAGTGCTGCATATTCTCTGCGTTGTGGCTCTGGTGTTATCTCTCAGGCTGGGCAGGGATACGTTGCTCTGCTGCCGGCGTAGTGCAACCCTGAACCCCATTTCCATTTTCCACAGAACTGTTTGATCTGTAAAAAAGCCTAAATAAGCCTCTCTGTTACAGTGGAAGAAAATGATTCGGGGTGTGTTTGAGCTGATGCCAGCGGTCGGTTGCTGTGCTGGTGAGACTCCGTCGGCGCAGGGAGTGCCCCGAAGGCAGCCAAAGGTCTGGCAGAGGCTGCCGGCAGGACCTCGGCCACTTTGTCACATGTGGTGATCCCCTCAGATACTTGTTGCAACTCTTGTGTGTTTGATAACGCTTCCTGTTCTTGGGAAGGGGTGTCTGTAGTCAGAGGGATGCTCTCGCAGTGGAAGTCCCAACGTGACTAACCCAGGAAGATCAACAGTGCTGTTAACTTCCACAGCAAATGTCATTCTGCATTTCCATTGAAATGTGGTTGTTTTTTTCCCTTTCGGGCACTTAGAGACTGTAAAACTGGATAAACACCAAATTATGTTGTTCACTTGAATTTTCCTCAGTATTGCTAGACATTTATTCCCTGTGACCAGTGAGACTCTAGCTGCTTGGTAGGTTGATTTCTTTAGTGAAGAGATCTTCATAGCATTAATTAGTATTAAAGGTAACATGCATGTTGGGCAATGCCAGATGCTAAGCATATGTTAACAATTAAAAAAATTTAAAAATAGAGAGCAAAAAGGGGCCTGTAGTACAAGAACAAGGTGTGCTTTGCTTCTAACCGGAGCAGACTTGCTGTATGACTTGGGAAGAGCTGTTCTGTAGTGACCAGAGCCAGCCCTGAGCCTGCTTCAGGTTGTGCCCCTATTTCCCACCCTGGGCAGATCATGTTCATCTCTGCTTTGCTTTCCTTTCCCTAAGAGAGTGAGCCAGCCCGCTGTTAAAAAGCTGCTGGAGATGTCCAGCTCCACGGTGTCAAGCAGTGATACCAGTTGCTGATGTGGGAGAAGCAAAACCTGCCGGGAGGGCAGTGCCCTGGGCGTGGGGTTTGACACGTTATTCCCCTTAAAGCCAGCTCCTAGGTGCCTAAACTTCACGCAGGTTCCAGGCAGCCCTCCAGCCCCTGGTTTGCTGTCAAGCAATGCTATGTAAGTTGTCCATCTGTGCTGTAACGAGCCGGGGTCGTTTTGCCTCTAAAGCTTTTTGTGTGTTTGTTTGCTCTAAAAATCCAGCAGGCACGAGAGCTGCGCTTTGCCCGGCACGTGGCGCAGCCCCTGCGAGCGCGTGTGTTTAAGAGGAGCAGGGCACCGCGGCTGGCAGCCAGGGAGGCCGGCTTCAAACCTGGGGCAGAGCAGTAAATCTGTGGGAACGGACGGGCTTGGATTGTCTGTTACATAAGGATTTTATTTAATACTCCAGCCACTCATCTACAAGAGTGTTATTGATTCAAGGCTGGCAGCTGGTCAGACTGATTTATGTCCTGAGTTTTGGAGCTGTTAGATAAACACTGGATATCCACAGTTTTTTGTAATACCCGGGCTGGAGCTCTACCTCTCTGAGTAACCATGTGGTAGGTAGGGGGGTCTGACCCCAGGGGTCTCCTCTGTGTGGTTCAGGGCTGCATCCCAGTGCTGTGCTTGCCCTGAAATGTGTTGGAGGGCTTGGACCTGAGCCCTAGCTCAGTCTGTCCCCTGGGGTGTAGGTTGGTTAGAGGCTTACCAGTATTTTATATTAAAAAATGCCCAACTTCTCCTAAGTTGTGTCAGATACTCAGAGAGGAAAGCCTTATAGAATTGTAGAAGCCCAAAAGCAACCCCTGAGTGCCAGATTCTTCTTCTGGCTCTGCAGGTGACTTGCTGCGCGTAATCTTAAGTAAGTTCCTTCATTTACCTTTTCCTGGAACTACAGCGTGAGGATATCTGTGCTAGGTCAGCCCCAGCATCCGTTTCTGCAGTGGATGTGCCGCTTCCCCAGGTGCTCCTCCAGCCTCCGACAAGGAGCTGAGCATCTCTTTTCGTCTGGGCTCTGCTCTTTGACGAGCTACAGAGGACATCTGTTAGGGTTGCTGACAAAGGACATGCGTCCGTCGCTGGGGCAGTGCTGATAGGGAAAAGGAGCTCTTCTGGTGGGTCACTCACTCATGTCTGATTTAAAGGTGTCGTTGCTGTAACAGGAATAGGATTGCTAGAGCTTCGTAGAGCTGCTTTTTTGCGCTTTAGAGAATGAAAATGGCTAGTACTTAGTTTCATTTGTCGATAGAAATCATTCAGCAAGGTAAAGTATTAGCAGTAAGTGCTCCTGAAACTGGTGGCCGTGGTTTTGGCAGCATGATACATCCTCCACCACCTCTGGCACAGCTCTCTTCTATTTCGCCAGCCTGCCTTGGCGGTGGGAAGAGACACATAAAATAGGCAGCAGACAAGGTACTGAAACTGCCTCTTTGTGAGCCACAGCGGCGTCTGCCTGAGGTATCTTGAGCCCATCAGGAGGTCAAAGACACAGGCCATGTGTGACCTGTCCTGCAGTTGAGGTGTCTCTGGCAGCATTAGCCCGGATGGAGTGGCCTGCCAGCAGCTTTGCTCTCAGCATTTCAGTCAGCCCCACCGCCTCGTCCTTTTGAGGGAAATGCCTCGTGTTCCTCGCTGCTGCGGTACCAAGCGTACACTCTCATCTACCTCCTTGAGCTGTCACGCTTCACTCTTGGTTTGGGGTGGGAGAAAGGGAGGAGCAGGAGTTGTCCCCTGTTAACCCATGAGTTGTGGCTGCAGGAACCGTGCAGCTGCTCCGAAAGCCCTGGCTGTGCTACGGGCACTGGGCAGAGCGGTTGCTGAGCAGAGGTTGTTGCAGCTTCTGTCCCTGGCTCCACCCTCCTGGTTATTTTTTGGAGCTCCAGATGCCTCACGTCATGTTGCAGAAGTGATTGTAACCCCTTCGGATCACATGAACACTTCAGAGTCACTTCATTACAAGCTGCGATTAAGATGCAAATAAAGCCTCCTAATGCAGTAACTCCAGCTCTGCTGCACTCCCTAAGTCAGCACAACCGCTTCCACAGAGCTGAAATCACAGGGCAACCGCAAAAAAAACTGCGGGGCAGCCGCAGCGTTGTCCGAGCCAACTAGAACAAAGTGAAGATGCTGATGCAGTTTGGGAAGAGGCGCTAGTACTGGTTTTGTTGACAGAGGGTCGAGCCCAGCCTCCTCTTTAAACCCACGTGGCTGCTGTGGCAGGATGTGTTGGGAGGGAATAAAGCGAACCCCTGTTTGAAGAACGTGGCTCTTTTGGTGGCCAAGGCTCATCTCCCGCCTCATCCCCTGAAGCTGGTAGCTCTTCGCAGCGCCTTTGTGCTCTTCAGCAAGAGGCAAGGCTGGGAATTGAGGCTTTGCAGTGCTACGAGATCCCCTTGGCCATCAAGTGGCAGCCCTTGTCCACCCTGTTCAGCCGGAGCAGGGCTGACAGCTGTGTTCCCATGGTCCTCTCCTCCGCGGGGCTGCTGCCCGCGCCCGTGTAAGGCAGCTTCACGTTGTGCTTCCCACAGGAGGGGCCGCCTGCTGCCGAGGTGGATGGAAATGGTTAACTAGAGCTGCCAGCCCCGGGGAGTTGGTTCGGCAGCACTTCACCCCTGACTAATATCTGCTTCTTTCCTTCTGCACTCTGCCTGTCACTCCAGATGGGAGAGGACACGCCGTGGGTAATTGGTTCCTGTTCCCTCTGTCTTCCTCCTTCCCTCTTACTCACACACATCGCTGTTACCATCTCTTCCATCGTTTTGAATTTGGGGTAAAGTTAGTTCTTGGGCATCTTGCAGAAGAATTGGGTAAACCAGACCGGTAGTTTCTGAGTGAGGAAAGCATCGGTGCTGTGGAAGGGTGATGGGCAAGAAAAAAGAAGGGGACTCCTGTGCTGCTGCAGTGGGTGGTGCGCCCCAGATCTGCCGTGGACCTGATTTGTTCTTTGTTAACTTATCCCCTTTGCTTTCTGTAGAAGTAGATATGTTGTCACTTCTCTTTCCACTGTGTAAGAGCCAGCTCTGCCTGCAGGGACCTGGCGAAGCTGCCACCTCCTCGGCGCTCGCTCTGCGGCTCTGCAGCACACACCTGCAGCACCGGAGCCGAGGGAGCAGGAGGCTGCTGTGTGCAGACCCCCGTGGGGAAAGCGGGGCTTCAGGCGGAGCAGGGCAGAGCCTGGGGAGAGATCTTTTCCACCCCAGAGCAGAGGTGTGGGGTGCAATCTAGAAATGTAAGGAGACTTATGGTAAATTCTCCGCACCAGTGAGATTCGTGGGTTTTTTCCTCCGCCTTGTCGGAGGGGAGACCTGGAATCTTGACTCAAGCCATAAATCCAAATGCTATTTTTCCCCCAAGGCCTGACAGCTCGGGAGAAGGGAAGACTTGTGGGTGGCTTGAGGAACCCCAATATATCGTTCCTTCTCTCTTTGGCAGCGAGTGCATCCAGATACCAGTGTATGGGCTGCTTCAAGGTTGGGTTCCTAGCCTGCAGCTTCTTGTGAGCGTAGTAGGAAATGATAGAATAGTTAACATCTGGCTTGATTATGCAAAATTATTCAGTCATTTCCATAATACCCTTTGTAAAATGCTTGCTGCTTGATAAACCAATCTTTCTCCTCCTTCGGAGAACGGTACCAGCGATCCTCCATGCATACAATAGTATCTGGAAACGAACCAGATTCTTTACCTTTTTGTCTTTTCCTCTGGATTTCGCTGCCTGTCAGTATAAAGTGTGAAATTCATCTACGTGCAAGGCTATGAATAGGGATGAGGTGTAATAGTTGCATTTATTACTCCTCAGTGAGCCAGTAACAAGGTGTAAATGATCCGATAGATTAATCTAAAACATGGCTTGGCTTAAAGAGCAGTCTGTAGAGCAAAACTCGGCTCTGCCAGGCTGTTTGGGTGGGGGACACCCGACAGTATAATAAGCCCTATTTTATAAAGTCGGTATTAATTGGATTTACATCCTCTGGCTGGCTTCCTTTGGGCTGCGACTGGATTCTGCTTTTGACTTTGGAACCGCTCACTTCTATCTGTCAGCTCCCAAGTAAGCAAAGAAAAACTGACCTCGCGCGGCCGTGGGCAGCGAGAGGATGGGTTGCCCTGTGAAGACGTGGCTGTGGCAGAAGATGAAGGCTGTCCTGTATAAATTTCTGCCGTGACCTCAAGTAGGGATAAACGGAGTCTCACGCAGGGAAAAAGCTCTTAAGGCTCCTCAACAAGGCAAATTGTGTGTGATTTGGGCTTCTCTAACACCTATTGCGGTAGCTAATATGGCACCAGGTGGCTTTGGTGGGGACTAGGGGAAGGAGAGATGCCAGAGGGTAGAAAGGGCATCCAGCACAGCACAGGGATTTGTCAAATTTTACAGGATTTTTGGAGGCTAGATATCATCTAGTAAGTCACTGTCTTGCAACCTTGCTGCTCTTCTCAAAGCATTTAATCCTTTTTGTCTGTGCTCTGAGGGAGAGAAGTATGAAGCTTTACGATGACTCTTGACCAGTGTTATTTTACCTGTTATTTGCCATGAGATCTCTCAGGGCACAGGCTGGCAGGGACCAGGAGAGGGTTGAATTTCCAGGTCTTTTGTGCAGAGGCAGAAGGCCAGAGCCTTTTGGGCTCTAAGCACAAACACTCCTGGAGGCTTCTGCTTTAGCCACAGGGGGCATTTATTTAAATATTTTAACAAATCAACATGTATTTGAAAAGGTATGTAGAGCCTTTGTTGACTCGGTTTGTCAAATGCTTTTTTTTAAAAGCAAACTCACTCCCCAAACTCTAATCAAATGGAAGAACAAAGCCATCTACAAGGCGAGCTGGGATGTTCTGGTCTGCCAGCCTGGCTCCTGCCTCGCCCTGGCCTCATCCTCCGTGCTCGGTATCCTTGTCTGAATGTGACCAAAAAAAAAACCACCCCTGCACTCAGTAAAAACCCTTCCATGGTCTTCCAAACAAACCCCTGGGACACAGATAAGCCTGGAGAAGTCTCTGTAGTGAATAACCGCTGCAAATCTGTGCTTGTTTCCTCCCGGCTATCAGTCGTCTGTCGAGCTCTGTAAATATTCACAGGAGCCGTGTTGTAGTCACAAACAGCCTGTCCTGATCGCTGAATTCTCTCAAGCACCTAGAATGGCACCGAGGTTTAAAAAAAGGGCTTTATCACTGAGCAAGTGGCCTGGCTGCTTTGTAAAAGGAGTAGGACAGCGTCTAGGGGTCTGCAGGACGCCTGGGCAGAAGGGCTCCAGCGAGGATTCGGTGTGTGCGGGTGGGACGTGGTGGCTCTTTCGGTCACTTCAGACTGCAGCCGTGTAGCTTGGCAGAGATCGTTACGGAAATATCCCAGTGCGTCTCTTTGCTATTTGAGTGGCCCGTTAGATTATGAAACTGGTTTTTTTTTATCCTGACTAAGCTCAAGGAGCATCTTCTAAGAGAAGGCAAAGCCCACCTGTCTGAGCTGTTGTAACAGCCGGCACCTGTCCCCTTCTCTTTCTTCTGTGTCGGAGGAACATAGCCAAGACACATTGTGTTTTCCTGTAGTTCATCGCTGCTCCCTAGAAAACCAAAGCTTCTGGGAAGGAAGCTTCCTGTCAGGTTCATTTTTATTCCGTTTCTCAATTACCCCACTGGGGTCTGTGGAGCTGCTCAGGGCCGCGGTGGGTCGAAGGGAAAGCGCTGATGCGTGAAACGCGAGAGGTTTCGGCGCGGGCGACAGGCGCGGGAGGGGATGAGGTTTTATTCTCGTTAACCTGAAAAACGCTCCCATCCGCAGAAGGTGTGTGGGGTAGTTCTCCAAATAGCTCTGCTCGCGCAACAGCGAAACCGCCCCTCTGTTCCCTGCGCTTTCCCATCGCTGTGTTTCTGTCTGTCTGTACCCGGCGAGCGAGGGGACGCGCTGGCAGCAGCGTGCTCGGCCGAGCTCCGCTCCCACCGCCTGACACTTGGCTTAAATGAACTCGGTCTTTCTCTCCTCTCTCTCCTTCTCTCTTTCAGCTTGGCAGTGACCTTGGCGGGGGCATTGGAGGAAGCCCGGCAGTAAGTGCCATTCCGTTTTTTTCCCTGAATTTCAAAAGCTGCTCAAAGCTCAGGGTGTTTTAAATGCAACCTCACCCGTTGTGTGCTCAAAGGTGCTTTAAATCCCGGAAGGTGTTTGAAAATGGACAAATGCAACCGAAACACGCACGTCCCCACCTACGTTGCTTTGAGTCCAACTGTCACCTGGGCTTCCCTAAGAGCAGCCAGGGCCAGAGCCATTGACTCTCTGCTTAGCTCTTCTTTCTCGGAGCTTTTAGTTTGAGCCACCAGCATTAACACAGCCCCCAGCCCTTGAGCAACTGCTGGGGCAGCTGGAAGGCCGAGGATGCTTACCTGTCTACTCACAAAGCCTGTTCTGTTGTAACCCTAACGCGACATCACCGTGGGCTTGTCTCAGCTCGGTGCTTTTCTCCTCCCAGGCGCCACGTGAGATTTCCCGGACATCAGGATCAGGTGGTCAGCACTTTCCTATTCCGTGTGGTCAGTGCTGAGCTCTGCCTGCCACCCGCCCCTTTCTCTGTGCCTGGGAGTGTCCTGGAGCCTAGAGTGCTTGCCAGGACATGGGACGCTTCCAGGCTGCTTCCAGAGCACCCTGGGCTTCAAAAGCGTGCCAGCTTCTTCCAGGAAAGCGTGGGAGAAAGATGCAAGGTGACTTGGAGACGCAGTGGGCAGGAGGGAGCATGCCTCCAACCCACAGCCAAAAGCAAGTCTCCTGGAGAAAGCTCCAGTCCCTCTTCCCAGGACTGTGTAGCCAGTAATCCAGTGAGGAAAGTGTCCTCAGTTCTGGACTGAGGGCTCTTGAGAGACCCTTGTTATGGCTGCAGACATTCTCTCTCCTCCTTTCCCTGCGGATCTTGCTTTCCTTTCTAACTCCAGCGTGAGGGCAGAGGAGAGCTGCTGGTACAGCGTACCTGTAGCCTCCAGGCAGTTCCACAGCAGGACGCGATAGATACTTATTCTGTAGAGATCATACCTGCAGAGCCTGCACTGCCAGCATAAGCCCACCCAGCAGTTCTGTAAAACCTCCAGTCCTCCTTGTCCAAAGGGTTGATGGAAACACCACGTCTGCGGTGGGTTCCTGAACACAGGACTTCAGCGCCAGGCCTGTCAGCAGTATTTCCTAGCGCTGCCTGAGCCATTCTGCCTGTTCCGGGGCTGCTGCCTGGGGAATCCCGTTCTCAGCACGTAATTCTTCCTGCTCACAGGGAAGAAGAGAACTTGAGAGTCTAACCTGAGTGTGATTATCCCACCTGGAGCTGGGCACCTAAAGGTTAATACTCGAGGTCTGGTGCCCGTGTTTAAGTTCTGAGAGGGAAGAGTTGCCCTTCTTGCAGAAAAGTTGCCCTCGCGCAGACAGAGACATCTAGTTCTGCCTCGTGTAATGAACCTTTGGGGACCGGAGCACTGAGAATGCAGAGCTCTGGCTTTGGGTGGGAGTACACAGTACGGTTGTGACTCCCTTGCTGCCTCTGGGTATGCAGAATCTTGCAGATTCCTGAAGACGGTTGTAGTTGGGGAGAAGATTTAAAGCGTTTCTTCTTTTTCCCTGGGTTTACGTAGGGCAGATCCGCAAAGCAGATTGTCTATGAGGAGAGATGGAGAGGAACGGTTCCTTTACCGTGGGAATAGATAACCAGAGCTATAAAAAACGTGAAAGCTATTGCATGGTTGAGGTGACAGCCGAGTGTAGGGATTAGTTGCCAAGAGCTTTGGAATTCAGATGCATTATTTAGCACTATTGATCATTCAGTGGGGAAGCTGCAAACGGCTTTTAAATATTTAGGATTTCGCCCAAGTTCATGCTTTATTAAATAAGTAGTGTTCTTCATATGTGGTGTTAATCAGTGCCTCTTCTTTTTAACCCCTCCAGGTGGGGCAGACCTACATCCCCTCCTCCGTGCCAGCCACCTTTGCCCCTTCGCCCACCCCAGCGGTGGTGAGCAGCGGACTCAACGATCTCTTCGAGCTCTCGTCTGGTATGGGCATGGCTCCTGGAGGATATGTGGCTCCGAAGTCTGTACGTAAGGAAAAAGAGCATCCTCAGTATGTTGCCTAACCTTAGGCTCAGACAGGAGGTCTGAGACTGGTCGCTCGTTCCCTTTCTTGTGGGTCTCTGGTGCTGTCGGGGCACCTTGGTTTAAGTCAGTCCCATCGGGGATGCCCTGGGATGTTCTCAGGCAGAATAACAGTTTCATTGTTAGTTACAGACTTCTGTGGGTTGGTTTGTTTTTTTCAAGCGGTTCCCTCATTTTGCCTGTAACAATATTACTCTAAAGAATGGCTTATATAAGATATGAGAATTTCAATTTTGTCAGAGCAGCTTTCCTGGAGCCCTGCTTCTTAGTAAGCTTCCCCAGGAAGCTGAGCACGGGATACAGTTTTCTACAACTTCCATAGAAGATGCGTTTCTTCGGAGGAATCCAATGTGACACTGAAGATAAAATGACGTGATTGGGACGAGCGTGCCGCAGTGTAATGCGGATAAATGCTCTGTTAGTGACAGAGATGGCAGATGCGCTGACTGAAGCATGCTTAGTCTGGAGGGTTTGTGAGCTACAGAACATGGTTCTGGTGAGAGGCTGCGGAGCAGCCACAGGGAGCTCGGGGTTAGCCTTTCGTGCCTGAAAGGCAGTAAGCAAAAATTAAGACTCTTACTAAATAGTCAATGGATGAAAAAACTGAAGTCATCGTATGAAATCTAGGATCTCGAGGTACTCTGAAGAGTACTCGAAGCTTTTGGTCTTAGCTGCTTACAAGTGTAAAACCAGGCACAAAAGAACTCAGTAATTTCGAGCTAAGAAGTACTTTGCTTTGTGCCACTTAAATTTGGTTCTGGGGCTTTTCCCACAACGATGGTTTGGGAATCCAGAACCGGAACAGCTAATAGTATCAGCCCTGTGATTTGATCTGGTTCAAACTTTAGTATTGTCCTGCCTCTAATAGCCCAACAAGTCCTTGGAGAAGCCTGTCCATCCGCAGACCCGGTAAGTCTCACATTAGTGTGATGGACACAAGCTTTCACTGTTTCTTGTGCACACTAATGCTGTAGTATATTTGAATTCTTACGTGAGTGCTGTGAACAAAGACGGATTAGGAGCAGCGAGCTTACTTCTCCTTGGCGAGCTTGATCCTTTCAACACCCCATGTCCTATCTTCCCTGTAGTGTTTCTTTAGCATTTGTGGGCTTACTGTGCCAGCGTAGCTGGATTGCCGAGCTCGGACTTCGCTGTTGTTTGGAAAGCTGTTCTTGTTTGTCACCTTCAGGCCAGACCTCTCGCGCTGAATGGCATCTCTTGTGTTCCAGGTTTGGTTGCCTGCGGTGAAGGCTAAAGGATTGGAGATCTCGGGCACGTTCAGTCACAGGCAGGGCCACATCTACATGGAGATGAACTTTACCAACAAGGCTTTGCAGCACATGACCGACTTTGCCATTCAGTTCAATAAGAACAGGTAAAAAAAAACAATGCACTTTTGTCTGCTCTTAACAAGGTTGCATGTTCCTTCGCTAGATCCAGGGAGGACTTTTATGTGGGTATGTAATGCAGTCCTGGAAACAGCTGGAGGGTACAGGCTGAACCCTCTGTCACGCCACAGTTGTGTGAAAGGGCTGAAAATACAGGCTGGTGAATCTGTGAGCAAACAGGCGGCAGACAACCCCGTCATTCTCCTGGCTCTGAAACAGCTTCTGCCCCATTTCATCTCTGCAGAGTTTTAAAGCAGCCTCCCGAGTTGTTCGGCAGGTGAGTGGTTTTATAGCCAGCAAGTGCCCTGAGGAAAACAAGAGCATAAACAGACGAGCATCTGAGCTGCACAGGGATCAGTCCGTAATGCCTCTGCCTCCCGACTTAATTTCTCTGCTGCCCCTCAGACTGTCTGGAAGTACAGGTCTCATTAATAAAGCTATCTGACAGTGAAGAAGTTGGGAGTTAAGAGCCGATGGCACATGTTTTTCCCAGTAATTGGCAGCAGAATAATTTTGTCAGAAGGAGCAGCCACTTGAGTGTTTAGAGCATACAGATTGTTCTCGGAAACACGGCTCAGCCAGAAGACACGACATGGCAGTACAGCCGCGGCGTCTTCCCCCTCGGAGCTTATCGTGTGGTTCGCTCTTGTGTTATCTGGAGCAAGGGCCAGGCTAGTTCTTATCAAGACTGCAAAGAATATCTTGTGACTGAAACGTTTCCCCTATTTCTTATATCCCTTCCCTGGAAAAGGGTTCTCCGTACTAAAGATCTACTGAAACCATCTCTTTAATATCACTCTTAGCCTTGCAAATTTGGGATTTCTTGGCATGAATAATATTTACTTACAAAAGACATTATGCTAAGTAAGTCTTAGTAAATTGTTCTCCCTGGACTGCTATATTTTCTGGAGAATTTTGCTAAGCTGCTCTATGCAAATGCTTCATGCAAATTGGCCTGAAAAAAAGACATTTTCCTTGTGATTTTCTCCCCCTGCCCCATACATCCAGCTGTGTTCTGGCCACACCTACAGAGTACTTCTCAAGGGTATGAGAAGTTTAAATACTGTACAGTAAAACAGCAGTTTCTTGTTTTGCAGCGTGTCGGCACACACTTCGTATACAATCTGCTATTTACTCCTCTACAAATACTGTTCTCCTGTTGCTGCTTTCCACTGTGGCTGGTGCACTGGAAAGAGATGCACTGAGCTGGCTCTTTAGGTTTAAATATTAAGGTTTGCGACTGGGAAGTTCCTATTGTTTTTCTCCCCTCTCCTGCTGCTACTAATCACATTCACTGCAGTCTTGGGATAAAGCATTAGGGAGGAAAAAAAAAAGAAAGCTAGAGCTCTAGCGTACTGTAATATCACAGCCACTTGGTAGCAAAACGCAACTTTATTTTTCCTCTGAGTCTCGGGGAAAACACGAGGGCCTGTGTCCCACAAGGTGAAATGGCTGCAGAAGGCAAATCACGTGGCCAGGCCCTCGCTGAGAATATTCTTATTTCAGCTCCCTAGAGGTGAAAACTAAGGAGAACAAAGAATGGGGCACGTACTGGCTTCTGAAAGAGTGACATGCCCAGTACACACGTGTCTGTGCAGAGGCAGTATCAGGTTTTCAGTTGATACACCCATACGTCTTTGTTCGTGCAAATGCTCTGTCACCGCAGCTAATGGGAATTCTGCTAAAGGACACCAGAACTATCTTATGCATCTGCACTTCCATCTGCTTTCAAAAAGTACAGAAGAACGCGTTGTGTTAAACATTAGCTGCTTTCCCTCTTCTCCACGCTGAGTAGAGGTGCCTGTGGAGTTAACTGCCTCATGGACCGAACGGGCAAGTACACGCTTGCTGCGCTGCGGTGCTGGGCGTCCCCAGCTGAAGGGCCTGCAGCCAAGCACCAGAGCCAGGCACCGTCACTCGGGACCAGACAGCTGGCTGCCTTGATTCATTTGCTCTGCAGCGCTCCATTAGAAACCACATATTGCTCCTTGGCTACCAGTTCCTTCTTCCATAGCTCCCAGTGACACCAGAGCCATGGGGGCTGTGACGTACTCCGCTCGCAGTGCTCTGCAGCTCTGCAGGAGCTGCTTCTGGCCGGGCAGGCTGCTGCTGTGCACAGAGCAGTGCCGTGGGGTGACGGAGGGGTTCCCAGGTGCTGGTGCCCTGGGCAGGATGTGGCGTGCTGTCAGCGAGACCAGCCTGATTGAGTTTCTCGTACCTTGTCCTACCTGGAGCGTCTGCTGGTTTGAGCTGTGTTCCTCCCCTGGAGTGACACCAGGGCCAGCTCAGGAGTAATGGGAAGATGAGCCAGCTTGTGCTGGGTTGGAGTTGGACAATGCTGTGCTCTCATCACCTCTTTTTCTTTTTTTCTTTTCCTGCCCAGCTTTGGGGTCATCCCGAGCACCCCACTGGCCATTCACACACCTCTGATGCCAAACCAAAGTATTGATGTGTCCCTGCCCCTCAACACTCTGGGACCAGTCATGAAAATGGAGCCTCTGAACAACCTCCAGGTAAGGACCGTCTCATTCTGGGCAGGGGGGAGAGCAAGCGCTCGGCCCAATTTGTTTGGCCCAACGCAGTCTGGTAAGGTGGGTCCTGACCTTGGGTCACCCCGA